AGAGAGGCCGCTGGTCTGACTGTTCCTTAGATGCAGGACAGGTTCAGCTCAGATGGAATGGAAGGTGTGAGGCAGGGTGGCCAGCTGGGGGTGGGGGAGTGTTCTGCCATTTGCTCTGTATGTGAGACAGTCATCCATCTCCCCTCCAGGGGGAGCCTGGGGGAATAAATGGGCTAAGATATAAGACCCTCATCCCAGGGCGGGCGTCAGGCCCACCAGAGAAGGAAAGTTCAGGGTACCTCCTCAGGCGGTCTCCCACTGGGGTGTGCCCTCCCAGAGCCCTGATGCCTGTTTGTCTAGCAGGGGGGGCAAGGTGCCCAGCTACTGCAGCATGGCTTCTGAGTGACCACTCTTTCAGGGACAAAATCCTGATTTTTTAAAAAGAGAAATATGGCTGACTATACTTTGCTCAGTACTAAGAAATTAAAGACATTGTTAAACAAAACTGTATGTACTTTCGTGTATATGTGTGTATATAATGTGTGTTACTTCTGTGTGTGTATATATATACATCCATATATATGCGTGTGTGTCTATATATATTTCTATGTATATATACTTCTGTGTATATGTGTATATATAATGTGTGTAAGAGTGTATATGTATATACTGTGTATATGTGTCTGTGTTTACATATACTTCTGTGTGTATATAGATGCTATATACTTCTGTGTATATGTGTGTATGAGTATATGTATATATTTCTGTGAATATGTGTGTATATTTACCTTTGTATATGTGTATACATAATGTGAATGTGTTATATATGTCTGTGTATATGTGTGTGAGTGTGTGGATACACAGAGTGGGGCAAAAGTAGGTTTACAGTAGTTCATATGGAAAAGTAATACAATAATTAAATAATAATACAAGAAAAACATTTCTGTGTTTTGTGTACTCACAACTGTAAACCTACAGTTTTGCCCCATCCTGTACTTTTGTGTATATGAGTATGTGTATATCCTTCTGTATATGTGTTTGTAAATGTGTATATGCTTCTGTGTATGTGTATATACACACACATATATAAAACATACACACGTTAAAAATCCACATTTCAGGACCAAAGAGTATAAAAACTGAAATAAAAGCCTTTTTCAACTTTGAATCTCCCTTCCCACCCTTACCTTTAGCCACAATTTAGTTTTATGTGTATATCCTTCCATAAATTAGAACTGGTGAGTTAGAACAGAAAGCCAGTTCCCTACTGGCTGGGCTCCCTGTGAGGTCAGGTCAGATGTCTGCATTAAGCAGCCTTCACCGCCTGGGACTTGGGCCCAACGATGTACCTGGGTCTGTCCCAAGTACACCTGACCCTTGACTGATCCTCCCCCTGCCCCCCAATCTGCATTGAGTGACCAGCACAAGGACACTAAGAATTTCCCTGGACCCCACTGGGCTACAAATGTGCCAACAGAGGCATCACCATCAGACTCTCAGGTGGTCAGAGGTGGCGAGGGACCCAATGCCTGGTGTCCGCTTGGAGTCTCAGCCTTCCAGGCATCCAGGGAGGGTGAGGCCTTCTCTGTCCTCCCATGTGACACATGCTCTTTTGGAAATTCTCCATCCCATGTTCCCCAGGGGTTTCTATCACCAGAAGATCCTCTAGAACACTACTTTGGACAGGGTTATCTCCCACTTATCCATTCCCTCATACCCCCAGCTGAGAGCTGGAGTCACAGGAGAGGCTGGATAAAGAGCTGCTCATTATGAAGTCTAAGGCATGGACTATACAGATACAAGGGGCAGCAGGATGGGCGTGGTGGGCAGGGCTGGGCTGGGCCCAAGAGTCTGGCAGTTTAGTGAAACAGGAGGGAAATGCCAGGCCTGGTCTGTGTGCATGGGGGTGGGGGACACTGAGGGCAGCAGGTAGGATATCAAGACCTGCTCCAGAATGGCCACACCTAACCCAGGATCCAGGTTGAGACTGACCAGGGCACCAGCTCCTTCCTTTTTCCTTTTCTTTCTTTCTTTTTAATAGAAACTCAGGCATCTGGATAAGGACTTGTAGAAAAAGACCACCCACTTTTGGGTAAATTCCAGAAAGGGCTGCCACCTGCAGGTATGGTGGGTGGGAGCCTCCCTGGACTCAACCCTCCTGATAATCCTCTCTCCGGATTAGACCAGGGGAGGGGTTCACTCCTTAGCCTCCTCCCTCCCAGGACTCAGTTCCAAGGAGTACAGGAAGCCAGTCTGCTTTTCAGGAAGTAAGTGCTCACTGACACTGGTACACAGAGTTCAGAAATGGGGAAACTTCAGATCTGGAGGTGGGTTGCACTCACAACCCATGGGTTCCAGTGGGATGTACCCAAAAACCCAGGTGATACAAAGCCGCTTCATGATTTCAGAAGCAACAAATGACCATGTGACTCTTCAATATTATATTAGTCATGGTTTTCAGAGCTTACTGTATTGTTTTCTGTCCAAAGAGATTCTTAAACTCCTTGCTAAATCTGTAGTTAAATGACAGATGAACTGGTCATTAATCCACAGACATGCAATGGCTCTTCCCTGGCAAATTCTAGCAAGTAAATGCAGGTCCCCTTACTAGGTTATCTTAGCCAGAATTTAGGTGAGTTTCTGAGCACTCTTGGTGTTTCAGTCATTGCTGAATCCATTTATTGATTGATTTGGGAGGCAGGCTTTCCTTGCCTGGATAGTCCAATTCATTCTGTGGAAACTTTACCCTAAAATACAGTAGATAAAGGTAAAAGGCTTGGCAGACAGAGCACTGCTTGATGAAAAACAAAATGTGTCTGCAGAGTAGGACTTTAAACTTGGAGAACACCAAGGAGCTACACACCCTCAGCCACACACTGCAGATATCTGAGCAGTAGCGATGACTTTGTTACAAATACATATGATTATTCTGACTATGCTCTCTGAAACATTGTGACAAGGTGTACACAAAGTGTCCTGCCCTTCCCTAGTGGCTAAAACATCCCACCTACCTGTTCTTTTTCTGAATGTCATCCAGATGCTGCCTGCCAACACCTAACACCAGGATCTGTAAGCTGTTTCAGGGAAGAACAGCTTGCAGGCACTGCTCCAAGCATCCACTTTACAACCCTGTGACCCTGGCGAAGGGGACCTGGGGATTTCTGACTCTGCTCTGACATCCTCTTTCTTCACTTGTTTATTCATTCAACAACTAGCTGAGTCTCTGCAGTGGACCCCACCCACCTGGGTAGTGAGCATATAGTTTGGGACAGGACAGACCTGTTTTGGGGGAGGGGGCTGCAAATGTGACAGGGATGTGGAGGTGGCCCTTCAGGAACCTCCAGGGAAGAGGGATCTTTTTCCTGGAAGTGTTATTCACCCAAGAAGGCGGAGCAGAGAGGCAGGGAGTGAGCAGGCAAGACAAAGAGGGAGAGCCCTGTAGCAGCTGGAGCCAAAGGTGACAAGCCTGAGTGGGGGTGGGACAGGGCCCAGAAGGGACCTTGGAAACCACCTGAAGGAGTCAGGGCTGGCTTGGTCCCCAGGGCATCTCGGAGGTTTCTAAGTTGCAGAGCAGTGAGAAGAGGAAGGCCCCCTGAACCTCGAGGGGGCAGGGGGAGGGGAGGGCAGGCCTGATGGTTGGGGGCCCATTCAGGAGCACAGAGGAAGTGACTATGTGTCCTAACCCCCTAGTATGCTGGGTACAGTACCTAGCAGGTGATGAGTACCAGGCTATAAATGAAAGAAGCAGACCACACAGTAGGCAGATACTGGTGTCTGGCTCTGGACACACACAGAGACAGGGACCAGGAGCCATCTGGAGTCAACCTTGCCCTTTCCTATCACCACAAGGGACACCACCCTCCCCATTCTCTTTTCAATCTCTGCCCAGTTTCTTCTATCATCCATGCCAACCAACCACCAAGAAGGCGTATCATCCATGCCAACCAACCACCAAGAAGGTGCTTTGAGAAAAGACAGGAGTTCTGGAAAATGACAGCTTTAGACGGACTTCAAGAACTTCCACTCTAACATTATTTCAGATGAATTACTTTACACATTAAAAAATTCTCAATGTCCCGCCCAAAAGTTTTGTCACAATTGGAAATATACTCCCCACCGACTGGACAAATACTTAAGTCCCAAATCTGTGCCTGCTTCTGTGTATAGTTTTCGGGTCAGAAGAAAAGCCATCCTGTGAGTGATCTTACAGAAATCCAAACACCATGCACAACCAGAGTGTGGAAATCCAACAGAGCCAGGGAGTCATTCCACCAGATCAGAAACCAGGAGAAAAGGAACAAGTGTGGAGGTCCTACTGCTTCCTGCAGCCGCTCATCCCTCAGGTAGGACCAGACAACCCCCACAAATAAAACCAGATGGAAGCACACTACACACTGTTCCCTCTTAAGCTGGAAAGGAAGTTGTATACAATTGATTCTGGTTATCGACTAACCCCCAAGGGAGCATCCCTTGCACACTCCCCAGAAAACAACTTGCAAACATAGAGGTGCAAATTCTCCTGCTGTTCATCTTCAGGGGACCCTATATAGCTTGTACTCCACTATCTCTGGCACTGACTCAAATGATCAACTAGGTCCCCACACACGAAGCTCATCAGACAAAGTCACATCCAGGGGAGTCCACTCCAGCACCGCGCTGGGCCTGCACATCGCGGGAGTGGACAACCGAACCAGGAACCAAGCTGCGCGGACCGAGCGGGGGCCGGGGTGGGGTGTGGGGGCGTAGGAATCAGAAAAAAAAGGGTACAGGACCAAGTACGAGGTACGGCGTACTGGGGAAGGGGATGAGGAGCCAGGTCTGGGGCACAGGCGGCGGGAAAGTAGGGAGAAGACCTGGGATGGGGTGAGGGCGGCAGGGATTCGGGATATGGGATGCGGGCCGCAGGGCAGTGTGGGGGTCGCGGGCCAATGGGGCCTGAGGGGCGGCAGCCGGGCTGGGCCGTGCCGGAGGACCCCTCCCCGAACCCCTTCTCTCAGCGCATCTCCGCCCCTCGGCACGGCCCAGGCAACGGGTGAGCGGGACAGCGGGCGGGCACCCACCTGGGCCTTCTGCAGGGTGCTGAGACGCAGCTCGTGCACGAAGGGGTTCCGCCCCGGGGGCGCTAGCCGCCGTGCGTCGCCGGCCCCCGCGCTGGAGGCGGGGGCATCTCGGGGACCGCGTCCCCGCAGCCTCATGGCCGCGCCGTCCTCTGCGAGGGGAGCCGGGAAGCCGGGCGAGCCGGGCGCGAAGCTGGACGCGAAGCTGGACGCGGAGCAGAGATGAGCGCAGAGCAGAGCGCGGGACGAGGATGCGCGGCGCCTGGAGCGGGCCGGTGTGCGGCCGCGCAGGCGCGGGAGGGGCGGCGGCGTGACGTGGGCTGGGGGCGCCGAAGAGGGCGGGGCAGGGCGGAGCTTCATCTCAAACCCCGCCCACCGCGGACCTGGAGCGGCAGTCCAATCCTGGCTCCCCTCCCTGCACCCCCAGATAGCTTTTGTAGGGCCTCGGGGGTCCGCTGGGGACGGTGGGAGAGGGCAGCGCAAGTCCCGAGGAGCGCGAGGAGTTCCTCCCATCTGGCCGGACCGCAAGGACCGCCGGCGGGCTCGGTCCCGGGAGAAGAGAAGGTCCGGTCCCCAGCGCGGTGTGGCCCGCCACGTCGCCCCATTCCGCGGCTCAGAGCGCGGCCGGGGTCGCGGTCCGTGGTTCCAGTACTGACCGACGCGGGGACCGGGTCAGGGCAGACACGCGCGCTCCCCTGGGCTGTGGTTGTGGAGGCCTATCCCCCTCCTGGGCTGGGTGCGAGACCGCCCCACCTGCTCAAATCTTGAGGCCCTGGAGGAGCAGGGCCTGGCCAGGCCGAACGCACTTGTCAGAGGCCACAGCATACCAGGTTCTATTAGGACGGCCAGACCCAGTTTCCTCTACTATTCTTCCCTCTGCCTTGTCCTCGCCCAGATGGGGTTACTGGTTCTCGCTCAGATGGGGTTTTGATGGAGATTCTCCTCTGCACTCTCCTTGGTCTGTGCCAATTCTAGCTGTTAGGATAGGCTTTATCCCAACATCCCAACACGTGTGTTCCACTCAGACCACGGGCCCACCCAGATGGTGGGACCAAGCAGAAGGCATCCACAGAGGCTTTGCTACCTGGGACCCAGTGGTTTGAATCAAATGATTCTCAATTCCTTAATTACTCTGGTTCATGGAATTACTCTCTGAGTGAAAAGGAGACATTTGGGAATCCCTAATTTATGGAACATTATTAACTAGAGCAGAAGTAAAGTAGCTCCATGTTCAAAATTTATAAATTTCAAAAGTTCACCTCAAACCTTTTGTAGTGAGACCAGCTAACTTTCTCCACACACCTCTCCTTGTGGCCCAGACAGTCAGGAGATGGAGGAGCAGGCATTAAGGTGGTGGGTGAGGAAGGATGACTCAGGCACAGTCCAGCAGCCCCTCTGTTCACACATAGGCATCTGACATTAGGGGAAGGAGCCCCAGCTCTTCCTGCGTGCTCTAGTGCTACAGGGAGGTCAAACGTCATTGGGGGCTTCTGTGATTTGTGAGGTTCCCCAGCCTCATCCCTTCCTGGGCAGTGGGTCAGGGAATGACTGGACCCTCTGATAACCCAGTGGAAACTCTCACCTCTAACATGGTGAAGTATCACCATGCTGGGCCCCTTCTGTGTTTTGATGAAGGGAGAGAATTGGGGCCAAAAGAGAGGCGAGTGGTTCCCCTGGCATCCTACACAGCAACACTAATAAGAAAGGGAAGACCAGGGCTGGATCCAACATGGCTTCAGAGCATTATGCTTGACCTGGGCAAGTGAGCTCTCCTTGAACCTTGCTTAGCACATCTCTGAAAGGCAGCTAGTGGCAGTATCGCCTTCCACTCTGTGCTGTGATGTCATGAAGGCCCTGGGGACTGTGGTGGGCATTATTTGCTGGTGGACACTGGCAGGCACTGTTTCCGTTGCCTCTGTGGCCATCAGCACTCTACTGATCTTCGGGGATTCAGTTGGTCATTGCTCTGATCTCACACTCAAGAGCCCGGCTGGGGAGGCTGATGGGGCAGTTTGAGAGGCTGGAAACAGTGAGGAGGAAGAGGGAGAAGAGAGAAAGGGGGAGGGTGCGCCACTTATTCACAACAAACAGAGCGGTGGTAGCCCGGGGAGGTCAACGAGGGCCAAAGGTCACCAGGAGAACTGGGTGGAGGAGTGGAGGACTCAGAAGGGTGAGTCCAGGAGTTGCCCCCTCAGGAGAACTGGCCCGAATAGAACTTAAAAACTGTCCAGTTGTGGTAGACAGCAGTGGAGACCACCCTGCAGTGAGCCATGTGGTGGACAGGGAGTGGGAATTCCGGGAGTCTCTTTCTGGAAAGCTGCCTGATGAAGGAGGAGGGAGGGAATAAGGAAGGGGTACAGATTGAGATGTGGGGGGTAGAGAGGAGGAGGGCAGATCCAGGACCTTTGCTGTAGGGAGGGTACTCTCAGGGCCTGTTAATAGGTGAAGGCAAAGAGCAGGCTTTGCAGGAGCAGTTAAAACCTACAGATGGGCCCATCTCAGTCCAGAGGATCCATGGTCAGGGGAAGGGATGGGCTGGGACCAGGGGTTGGGACCCCTTCCTGCTACAGCTGGAAAGGAGAGACAGCTAACAGGATGGGTTACCCACTGTGGACAAAGGTCCTTTGTGTGTGAGGAAGTCAGTTCTCTTTTGGGAGCTGAGTGACAGGTGGGGTTGTAGGGAGAATGGTGCAGGCTAGGAGGTTGGTTGGCTGGCACTGGTTGTTTACTATTAGGCTTCAATTTAAATACTGTGATGGAGTATTCTAGAAGTCCCGAAGGGTCCTGGAAGCGTGATTAGGATAAGTTGGTCTTGGATGTGGGGTTATAAGCAGTTTCTTTCAGAAGAGGGGGATAGACTTCAATTTATCTCTGAGACTTAGTTTCTCAGTTTTGGAAAAACCACCAGACAGGCTCTTTAACTACTAAGGCAAGTCCTCCATGGTTCTCCAGGAACCTTCTGGAATGCAGACACAGGGAGCACAGGAGCGTCCAGCCATGCTCAGACCAGACAGAGAGAACTGTTTCTCATCCTCCGGACGGACTGAGGACAGGTGCCTGCTGGTTCCTGCAGGGCTGGGGATTTGTGGTGTGTTTATTGGTTGAATTTTAGAGTTATTCACAGGAAAGGAAGATGTTGTCCTTCATATTCTTCTAATATTTACTCTTAGTTCTGCCTTTCATTTTTTTTATGGTTATTTTTAATCTAAAGACTTTTTTTTTCACATAGTGACCCAATATTCTCATAACCATTTATCAGTCCCTGTTGTGGCTCCACTTTGGACATGAACAGAAGTATTTATAAAACTATTTCTGGGCCCTGGCTGGTGTTGCTCAGTGGTTAGAGTGTTGGCCCGTGGACCAAAGGGTCATGGGTTTAATTCCTGGCCAAGTGCACATACCTGGGTTGCAGATTTCATCCCTGGCCCTGGCTGGGCGCATGCGGGAGGCAACCAATCAATGTGTCTCTCACACTGATATTTTTCTCTCTCTCCCTACCTCCCTTCTACTCTCTCTAAAACAAACTAACAAACAAAACAAAAAGCTATTTCTGGGAGCTCTATTTTATTCCACTGGTTTATTTGTCCTGTGCCGGCACCACACCATGTTCACTTCCATACCTTAGAAATAAGGTGCCTCAGTAACCAGTAGGGTGCATTCCTGTCTGTACTTCTTTTCAAGAATTGTCTCAGTGATTCATAGAATTTCTTATGCATTCAAATAATGGAATCAATTTGTCTGGTTGCTAAAAGTTTTTACTGGAAGTTCTGTTTCAAGTTGCATTAAATGCATAGATTGCTTTAGTAAGATTGTGTCGCAGGGTATCTGGAGTTTGGTTTAATCAGATGTGGTAAGGCACACAGACAGGGGGTGACTATCATCAAGGAAGAAGTTTTACAGCTCTCTAGAAACAAGAGGCATGTAGGGACATGGGGCCACAGGGGAAAAACCAGGGTAGGTCAGGGGACACAGAGAGTGAGGGGGAAACGTGGGCACAACCCTTTATTGTGATTTTCACAGGAGGGAACAGGCCACCAAGAGTAAAAAGGTTTAGGATGGGCTAGTTCAGTGAGCTCAGGATGTAGGGGCTGCCCCTTATTGTCTGGTATCTGCCCTGAGGTGATTAGGGCAGGGGACAGTGGCCTTGCGCATGAGTGCCTGACAGAGGAGAGGGCGGGAGTGTTGGATCTGGATAGGTTGGTTTGCATTTGAAAGGTGTGCTCCCAGGCAGGTGGCCCTGGAAGAGGCAATCGGGGTCAGCAAGCCCCCCCCCCCCCATGTTAAAGCATTAGAAATACAGAAAATAGAATGTTTCGTACAGAAGATATGATACTTTGTAATTTTAAGCATTTTTTACCAACATGTTTTTTTTAAATTTACTTAGGTCTTTTAAGTTCTTTGAGAGCATTTAAATTTTTTCTACATAAAGATTCCACATTTTTATTAGATTAATTCCTGGATACAGTATAATTTTGCAGTGGTAAAACAGAGGAATCTTACTGTTTTAATAAGTTTTTCTAATTGTTCATGGCACATGTGGAGGAATATACCTGGTTGTGTTGATCTTGTCGAGGTTGTGTAAAGACAGACCTTGGAGGGTGAGAGGCCATGGTGGATGTCCCTGTCCCAGGTCGATGTCCCTGTCCCACGTAGCTGTCTCTGCCCAGGTGGATGGGCTGAATGAGAGACCCCAGCACCTGCATTGGATGAACCTCCCAGGAAAGCCACAGATTCTGATAAACAATAAATCCTGTGCTTTTCAGTAGCTAAGTGTTGACACGTTTTGTTAAGCATCAATAATATCTTCCAAAGGGCAGGGGTTTTAGATTTTGATGAAGTCCAATTTATCAATATCTTTCTTTCATGGGTTATGCACCTGATATCCTATTTTAGAAGGACTTACCTACACCAAGGTCATTAAGATATTTTTAATAAATAAAAAAATTTTAACTTATAAAAAAGATTTTCTTATTTCAGAGGTTTTATAGTTTTAGCTTTAACATCTAGGTCTATATTCCGTTTTAAGTTAATGTTTGTATATGGCATGAATTGATGGTAAAGACACAGATTTACATTTTCTTCTGTCTGGATATCCAACTGCTCCAGCTGCATTTGTTGAAGAAAATATCTTGCCCCATAGAATTACCATGGCAACTTTGTTGAAAATCAAGTGACCATTTCTACTGGGTCTATT